TATGCATCAGAGTGATGCCCCCAAATGCTAGAGTGATGCCACCTTTACATCAAAGTGACGCCCTTTCTAAGCAAGACTGATGCCTTGTATGCCAGAGTGATGCTCCCTATGCAATAGACATAAACATAAGACTGATGCCCCCTGGACATCAAAGTGATGTCTCTTTAACATCAGTGTAATGCCCCTAAATGACAAAGTGATGCCCTTATATGCTACAGTGTTTTCCCCCTATACATCAGAGCAATGGCCTATATATCAAAGTGGTGCCCTTATATGTTACAGTGTTTCCCCCTATACATCAGAGCAATGGCCCTATATATCAAAGTGGTGCCCTTATATGCTACAGTGTTTCCCCCTATACATCAGAGCAATGGCCCTATATATCAAAGTGGTGCCCTTATATGTTACAGTGTTTCCCCCTATACATCAGAGCAATGGCCCTATATATCAAAGCAGTGCCCTTATATGCTAGTGTTTCCCCCCTATACATCAGAGCAATGGCCCTATATATCAAAGTGGTGCCCTTATATGTTACAGTGTTTTCCCCTATACATCAGAGCAATGGCCCTATATATCAAAGTAGTGCCCTTATATGCTACAGTGTTTCCCCCCAATACATCAGAGCAATGGCCCTATATATCAAAGTGATGCCCTTATATGTTACAGTGTTTCCCCCTATACATCAGAGCAATGGCCCTATATATCAAAGTAGTGCCCTTATATGCTACAGTGTTTCCCCCCTATACATCAGAGCAATGGCCCTATATATCAAAGTGATGCCCTTATATGCCAGTGATGCCATTAAGTGCTAGAGTGATGCCAATACATCAGAGTGATGTCCCATAAATGTATAAGTGATGCCCCCTAAACATCAGTGATGCCCCCTTTATATCAGAGTGATGCCCTTGTATGCATGAGTGATGCCCCCTATATATCAATGGGGTGTCCCCTCCATGCTAGAATGATGCCAAAACCATGCTACAGTGATGCCCCCTATACATCAAAGTGATGCCCTTACATGCCAGAGTGATGCCCTAGATATTCTAAAGTGATGCCCTCTATACATCAGAGTGATGCCCCCTAAATTGTGATCGCCCTGTGCATCAGTGATTGCTGTAAGTATTCAAGTGATGACCTTATATGCCAGAGTGATGCCCAATACATCAGAGTGTTGATCTCTATACACCAGAGTGATGTGCCATATACATCAATGTGTGATGCCCAAAATGCTATAGTGATGCGCCCAATACACCAGAGTGATGCCCCCTATACATCAGAGTGATGGCCCTGTATATCAAAGTGATGCCCCCTAAATATCAAAGTGATGCCCTTATATGCCAGAGTGTTGCCCTTAAAAACTAGAGTAATGACCGCTAAATGCTAGAGTGGTGCCCCCTTAATATTAGAGAGTTGCTCCAAAGTGTTGCCCTAATATATGAGTGATGCCTATTTGACATCAGAGTGATTCCCTTTTGATACCCTAGATATCAAAGTGATGCCCTTACATGGAAGAGTGATGGTTCTTATACATAAGAGTGATGCTTAGAAACAGAGTGATTCCCCATAAACGCTAGAGTACTGTCCCCTATACATTGGTGATGCCCCTAAATACCGCAGTGATCCTCTTATACATAAGAGTGATGCTCCTATACATCAGAGTGTTTCCCTAATATATCAGA